AGAGTTGGGGCATCAGGGGGTGAGGGTGGGGGGAGAGCCCAGGGCTGGGGCAGCAGGGAGTGCGGGTGGGATGGGGGGGAAAGCCCAGAGTTGGGGCATCAGGGGGTGAGGGTGGGGGGAGAGCCCAGGGCTGGGGCAGCAGGGAGTGCGGGTGGGATGGGGGGGAAAGCCCAGAGTTGGGGCATCAGGGGGTGAGGGTGGGGGGAGAGCCCAGGGCTGGGGTGGCAGGGAGGTGTAGGGGGAGCCCAGGGCTGGGACAGGATGGGTGGCAGCCAAAAATTTTTTTGCTTGGGGCGGCAAAAAACCTAGAGCCGGCCCTGCCCAACGCTGTGCCGCGACCACACAAGGCACGTGGAAGTGCTGCTGCGACAGTACCTTAGCACGGCCAGTGTGGACTAGCCCTAAGTAGTACATGATTACTCCCAAGTTATTTAGTGCTTTACATCAAAAAGTCTTAAAGTGCTTTATAAAGCTGCTCACTTATCCTCATTTTACAGATGGGGACCCCATTACAGAGACATTAAGTAACTTACTCATGGTCACAGAGCAAGTCAGTGGCAGAGTCAGGATCAGAGACAAACGTTCAACACCCTTGCTCTAACTTCTAGACTCTAAATTAGGCAGCCCTCACATTATTAATGTTGAAAGATAACAAGGATGTAAAGACTGCTCTGAAAGGCAAGTTACTGGATTTCACACCTTAAAAAGGCTTTTCACAGAGCTTTTTAAAATGGAGAGGAATCGTTTACAGTTTTGCTCCACACCTAATCATCTTTCACTTCAAGCGCCAGGCACATTCTTCCCCCTGCCTCCTCTAACACATCACAGTGTGTACCTTCAAAAATCCCAAACAAAAGACAATAAGCTATACACAATTCTCCCCGAGGAGAGGCTGAGAAGAGAATAAACCATGTAATTTAATGCACTCAGATACCATGGTGATGGGGGCAGTACAAGAATACAGTACAGACTATCTAGAGGCCAATAAGGCTAGAAGTGTCCTCCTCTAGACTTTTAAGGAGCCACTTGATAATTGAGAGTGAAAAAGCTCCCTCTTTCAGCAATGGATTGTCTCCTATCAGTGAAGGATGAAGCGTCTACCAATTCTGGGCCAGGTGGCCCCCTAGGTATCTCTTGAAATTCAAGCGCAGTTAGGAGGGAAAAAAAAAAAAAACTCCTGAGTGATCACTAAGCAGCATTCACATACATCCCAGAAACACACAAGAATCATAGAATCGGAGGACTGGAAGGGACCTCGAGAGGCCACCTAGTCCAGTCCCCTGCACTCCTGGCAGGACTAAGTATTATCTAAGACAGCGGCTCTCAAACTTCATTGCATCGTGACCCCCCTTCTGACAACAAAAATCACTACACAACCCCAGGAAGGGGGACTGAAGTCTGAGCCCGTCTGAGCCCCGCCACCCTGGGCTGGGGGGGGCCAAAGCTGAAGCCCAAGCACTTCTGCCCGTGGGGGGGGGGGGGGCGATACAACTTTAGCCCTGGGTGGTGGGGCTTGGGCTTCAGACTTGATGGGGCCCAGGGACACCACCAGCCTTGATGACTCCATTAAAATGGGGTCCCGACCCACAGTTTGAGAATCCCTGATCTAACACCATCCCTGACAGGTGTTTGTCTAAGCTGCTCTTAAAAATCTCCAATGATGGAGATTCCACAACCTCCCTAGGCAATTTATTCCAGTGCTTAGTCACCCTGACAGGACGTTTTTCTTAATGTGCAACCTAAACTGCCCTAGCTGCAATTTAAGCCTGTTGCTTCTTGTCCTATCCTCAGAGGTTAATGAGAACAATTTTTCTTCCTCCTCCTTTTACATACTTGAAAACTGTTATGTCCCCCCTCAGTCTTCTCTTCTCCAGATTAAACAAACACAATTTTTCCAATCTTCCCTCACAGATCATGTTTTTCTACACTTATCATTTTTGTTGCTTTTCTCTGGACTTCCTCCAATTTGTCCACATCTTTCCTGAAATGTGGCGACCAGAACTGGACAATACTCCAGTTGAGGCCTAATTAGCACGGAGTAGAGTGGAAGAATTACTTCTTGTGTCCTGCTTACAACACTCCTGCTAATACATCCCAGAATGATGGTTGCTTTTTTGCAACAGCGTTACACTGTTGACTCTCAGTTAGCTTGTTATCCACTATGACCTCCAGATCCTGTTCTGCAGTACTCCTTCCTAGGCAGTCATTTCCCATTTTGTATCTGCGCCACTGATTGCTCCTTCCTAAGTGGAATAATTTGCATTTGTTCTTATTTAATTTCATCCTATTTATTTCAGACCAGTTTCTCCAGTTTGTCCAGATCATTTTGAATTTTAATCCTATCCTCCAAAGGACTTGCAACTCCTCCCAACTTGGAATTGTCTACAAATTTTATAAGTGTACTCTCTATGCCATCATCTAAATCACTGATGAAGATATTGAACAGAACTGGACCCAGAACTGACCCCTACAAGGTCCCACTCAACATGCTCTTCCATCTAGGTTGTATTTCCCTAGTTTGTTTATGAAAAGGTCATGCAAGACCTGTTAGTCTCTAAGGTGCCACAAGTACTCCTGTTCTTCTTCATGCAAGACAGTATCAAAAGCCTTACTGAAGTCAAGATACACCAAATCTAACGTTTCCCCCCATCCACAAGGCTTGTTACCCTGTCAAAGAATGCAACAGACAAACAGGTTTAGAAAATCTGACTCATGAGGAAACATTAAAAAATCCAGGCACGTTTAGTCTTGGGAAAAGACGACTGAAGGGCAACCTGATGATAATCAACTATGTTAAGGGCTGTTATAAAGAGGACAGTGAGCGATTGTTCTCCCTGTCTCCTTAAGGTAGAAGTAGTTGTGATGAGCTTCATCTGCTGCAAGAAAGATTTACCAGTAGGTTAGATATTAGAAATAACTTTCTAACTAGAAGGGTAGTTAAGCACTGGAGCAGACTTCCAAGTAAGGTTGTGGAATCCCCATCACTGGAGATTTTTAAGAAGAAGCTGGACAAACACCTGTCAGGGATGGTCTAGGTTTACTTGGTCCGGCCTCAGTGCAGGGGCTGGATTTGAAGAATTCCCAAGGTCCCTTCCAGCCCTGCATTTCTATGAAATCACAGCTATTATTTTCTCTATTATTTTGATAGGAAACTATCAGAAGTTGTAAGCTCGTTATTTTCAAATTAAAGGTTATTTATACATCTTACACAATTCCATGTTGGTACTTGCAAGGTACTATATATGCAATCAGTGTCTTACCTGCTGGGAACTCTTAGTATTGCAGACAGGGTTTTTTCCTCATATGTTAAGACATCAACAGGCAAGGCTGCACCCACCTATGCACAAATAGGGCACTACTGTTAAATCAATATTATTCACTGCTTTAACACCAGTTTGTGAACATATGATTTCCACGTTCTCCAACTGAAAATATTATTATTAGAGCAACTTTGTAATACCCAGCTCTTATACAGCCCTTTTCATTCACAGATCTCAAAGCACTTTGCATCATTAGCACCATTTTACAGCTGGCAAAACTCAGACAAAGAGGTGATATGACTTGTCCCACCTCACCCAGTACATCAGTGGCAGAGCCAGGAATAAAACCTAGGACCTCTTGAGTTCCAGTCCAGTAGGCCATATTCCCTCCTGCTGTTTTCCCTTTGAAGCTCCACTGCAGCAGGAGCACGGACACCGGGACTTAAAGGGAAATGGTTGTTTTCACACCCAGCTCAGTGGATGTCAGATAGCACTGAAGCAGGCTGATAGGAGGTACATTAAGGCTCCTAGTTCAGTGTCTTGAACTTAAAAGCCAAAGTCTATGAAACAGCAAAAAGCAGGGAGAGAAGGGCTCTGAGGGCGCACGAGGGACATCATTTTAAATTGTTTCTTCCTTTCCCTTTATGCCCCATGAACCAAGCCTCCTTCCTGCTCACTTTCAGCTCTGGCTTCCTAGTCAGAATTCTAATTCGGGTAATACTATGGTTCCTCTTCAGACGGTATAAATCTTTCGCCTTCACTAAATTATGTTTTCTAATGGAAAGGATGAGCTAGAATCACTCATTAGGCCACGAACCTAGAGAATCACCAATGTTTTGGTCATCTTTTGAGGGACCCCATCCACATACTGACCCAGCCTGACCATTTAGCTTCAGAGAGCTTCCAGAATCACTCGTTTGCAATTTTGGGTGAAACAGCTTCCACACTGAGAAGTCAATTAGTCAGAATTCTTTGCCCTGCTAAAATTAATGTTAGGTCAGATGAATCGTGTATGCAGCATAAGAAACTTCAGGGTTCAGGAAACTTTGAATACAAATCAGAACGGCAGTGAAGATGGAATTTTCATATCTTTGCCTACTGAAACAGAAGAATTGTAACATTTACTACCATTGTTAAAAGCAGCCTGAAGTTTACAGATTTAAAAACAAACAAACAAACAAACCATAATCATAGGCCGTGGCTACACTTGAAACTTCAAAGGGCTGCCACAGGAGCGCTCCCACGGCAGCGCTTTGAAGTGCGAGTGTGGTCACGCGCCAGCGCTGCAGGTACTCCACCTCCACGAGGGGATTAGCTTACAGCGCTGGGAGCATTGGCTCCCAGCACTGGGGCACTGTTTACACGGGTGCTTTACAGCGCTGTAACTTGCTGCGCTCAGGGGGGTGTTTTTTCACACCCCTGAGCGAGAAAGTCGCAGCGCTTTAAATCGCCAGTGTAGCCATAGCCATAGTGTGGTATATAAAGAACAAGGTGCAGAAAGATCAGGCTCCGCCATTCAGCAGCACACTCTCCTAGACGTTCCATTTGAAATAATGGTTTGTAAAAAAGTCAGCGCTATTTATTTAAGGATGTGGTGATTCTGCATCATGTGCAATCTTTAAGTTGAGAGAGGAGCTCAACTCAGAGTTATGGGCTTGATCCATAAATTATTAGATGAAGTTCTTTGGCCATTATTATGCAGGAGCTTAGACTAGAAACTAGATCATCATAAGTTTCAGAGTAGCAGCCCTGTTAGTCTGTATCCGCAAAAAGAAC